CCTTAAATCTCATTATAATTAAAGTTTGTCTACTATGAGTCTAAGAAACAATTATTAAACAATAATTGTGGCTTTTTATTTAAAAAAAAGGGTGAAATTTTAAATTAAAAAGAGAAGTTTAACTTTTAATTCAAAATAAATCATTAAAAAATTACTCATTTTATCTTATAATAATTGTCATTTTTTTTCTTCAAATTAAAGATTTTGAACCATTTATGTATTTACTTAGCTTATTTTTATGAAAAAAATTAAAAGATAAAGTAAAAAAAAATATTTGATTACCTTAAAAAAAAAGAATTAATTTATAATAAATTCAAAGTAAAAAGATAACAACTATTTTAAGACAAAATGAGTAATCCATAGCATTTACAATTAAATAAAAAGTAAACTTGCTTTTCTTGAGAAAAAAATTATAATTATTACCTAATAATTATTTTTTATTTTATACTTTAAAAACACAAAATTGATAAACTATTATAATAAAACATACAAACCATGTTAATACAGAATTTTTATTTTTTTTCCTTTTCCTTCTTCGGCTGTAGATAGTTAGTAGTTAATAAGATTAAAATTGTTAATAAAAGGTGTTGAATCTAAACAAAGGTGCAATTCACCGATTACCTTTTTGGGCAGCAATGACTTCAATTATAGTAAAAAAATTGTAATAAGAGATGAGAATTAAAATCTACATCTAAAATACAACACCCTTTAATCAATAATTAAGTCACTACTTGAGCTACACGGCCTTTTTAACAACCCTTTATTTGTCTCTAACGGCCTTCTTAACAACCCTTTATTTGTCTCTACCATTTACGTAATTGATAAGGAATGAATTTGGCTGATGAGATTGAGGAGACAAATCATGGGCGACTGGTCCATGTGTTACGAAAGCGTTCTCTCCACAAAGTTTGCCAATTATTTCCACTATAATAACCAACAACTCCAAATGAAAATATCAATTTTACACATTTTTTATTTAAAAATATAAATTTTTTATTTTTTATTTAAAAATTAATTAAATAATAATATTAATGTGACAACTAAAATTTTTAATTAAAATGTTGAAAGTTAATATTTTTAGATAAAAATAATTAAAAATTAATATTTTTATTTAAAAATTACAAGATTAATGTCTTTAAATAAAAAAAAATATAAAATTGATATCTTTATTTACACTTA